TCGGAGCGGAGCGTTTCTATAATTTGTTTTGCTGAAATATCTAATTTATTTTAAATTTTTAATCAGGATCGTTTGGGCAACCTTGGTGTCATTGATGATAAATACGATGTCGCGATCACAACTGCCTATCCTGCATTGGACAACATCGTAGTCGATTCTGTTGAAGTTGGACAAACTTATGTAGATTACCTTAGAAGTAACGATATAGGTCGCGCCATGTTTACCATTTTAGATAGCTGCCCACAATGGACATGCGCCCGATAAAAACGCCTGAAAATGTTCCTCGACTTTTTGATCTTTGTTAGGCCGAAAGAAAAGATTTTATCCCAGTGTGTTTGGCAATACTTTAGTTGCCAAATATCTAACACAGGCGATTAGGATCGCCTTTAGCGAAACTCGGTGTGCGTGGTGACGTTAGGAGGCGAAGTTATCGACCAATCTGGCGCGATGAGTGGCGGTGGTCATAAAGTATCTAAAAGCGCTATGAGCTCGAGATTTACTTCTGAAGTAAAATGAGACAATAGAGATATTGGAAAAAGACCGTGTTCACTTTGAAATGTAATGGAAGAGATTTCATGAAAACCTTGGATCTTTAGAATTTCAACTTCAAATCAAAAGGATGAAATTCCTAAATTGGAGATTGAAATATTGAAGTTAGAGATGGATGCTAATGCATATGCATAGCATAATAAGAAAAGAGTAGTGAATGCAATAGAAGAGATTTTATGAGAACCTTGGATCGTTAGATTCTCAACTTCAATATAAAAAGGAAGAAATTCCTAAATTGGAGGTTGATATATTGAAGTTGGAGATGGATGCTGATGCTTATGCTGTTAGTAATAATCCATTGATGTACAAAATTATTTTATTAATTGTGATCTGTAAGAAAGATTATCATGATTCTAACATAAGCAAGTAGGATTGCCTTCAGCAAAATATGATGACATGAAGCAACATTTAAGATGATAGCAAAATTGAAAAAAAATCATATCTACTTTGAAACGCAATAGCAGAGTTTCAAGAAAATCTTGGATCCCTAGAATCTTCACTTCAATATAAAAAGGATGAATTTCTAAATTAAAGATTGATATATTGAAGTTGGAGATGGATGCTATTATATTATTAGTAACAATCCATTGATGTTACAAAATTATTTTATTAATTGTGATTTATAAGAAAATAAAAATCATCATGATCATGATTATTATTAAATTCATGATTCTAATACAGCAAGTAGGATCCTTTTCAGCAAAATATAGTGACATATAATAATATTAGAAAGTAAACTTATTAAGTAATCAGGTACAATAAGTAGTGATGAACAAAAAATATTTAAAAGTATTATTTGTTTGAGATTTACAATTGAAGTAATATTTAAAATAATAGTGAAATTGAAAAAAAATCATATTTACTTTGAAATGCAATGGCAGAAATTTCAAAAGAACCTTGGATCGTTAGATTCTCAACTTCAATATAAAAAGAATGAAATTCCTAAATTGGAGATTGATATATTGAAGTTGGAAATGGATACTAACGCTTATGCTATTAATAATAATCCATTAATGTTAAAAAATTATTTTATTAATTGTGATCTATAAGAAAGATTATTATGGTTCTAATATAAGCAGTAGAATTACCTTCAGCAAAACATGATGATATGAAGCAACATTTGAGATGATAGTAAAATTGAAAAAAAATCATATCTACTTTGAAATGCAATAGCAGAATTTCAAGAAAATCTTGGATCTTTAAAATCTTCACTTCAATATAAAAAGGATGAATTTCTAAATTGAAGATTGATATATTGAAGTTGGAGATGGATGCTATTATGTTATTAGTAACAGTTCATTGATATTACAAAATTATTTTATTAATTATGATTTATAAGAAAATAGAAATCATCATGATTATTATTGTTAGTGATAATTCGTTTGCATCACTAAATGATTGCATCAGTTAATGCCACCAATGATCACTAGAAAAATTGTGATCATCATTTTCACTAATTTCACTGCTATTATAGTTATCATTGTGATATTTATTTTCTTTATTATTACGTTTATCATTATTTTATTTATTATATTTATTTTCATTATTATATTTATTATTTCTTTCTTATAATTGTATTTTATATAATTATCGCCTTGACAAACTAACAAGTTTTCTATCATACAATTAAAAAAGTATAATTTTAATAACATAAAACTATATCTTTATCAATATCTATTTCCTTAAAATATAAATCATCAATAAAGATGATCTGATCCTTCAACTTAAATAAATTTGTGTTTATTTCTTTCATAGTTTATAACTTAAACTCACTGTTAGCAAATAAGTTTTGTTATTCTAATGATGTAGTGTTTAGGCATAACAAGTGGTGATTTCTGCCAGGAGAATCTTTATTGAAGATATACACAACAAACTGCTAAAGAACTAGCGAGATGTATGAATTTTGAGGAATTTGAAAGAATCACATCGAAACATATAGTTAGTCATTACTTAGATGAACCTCTTAACCAAGATTATATTTGTAATTAGTGTTATCCATCCTCTACTCAAAACTCTTTCCAATAGCTTCAAGAATTTCTGGAGCTGGTTTAGATGCGAATATCAAGCAGACACTTTTACCTCAAGGACTATTGATGCCTTTAATCTATTTGAACAACTTAGTAATACTCCTGAATCTGAACATCGTAATTCTCACCTAATAAGGGTTATCTATCAGCTTCTTGCTAGCATTCGATATTGTGTTTGACCTTTTTCAGTAGACGTAATATATTTGTACATACAAGGCATATCTTTTGAACAAATTATTTTCAACAATCAATTACCTTATCTATTTCTTCAAGGATATATACTGAAATCTTAGAACAGAATCTAGTAAGACCTATAGCAGATCGATAATTACTACAATAGCTTGTTGCTTTTTCAACACTTTCTGCATCTAGCTTAAACTCATCCCTTAATTCACCTCCAGTTGAAACTAAAATAATGGCTGCCTCAGGAGATGAAATAAGAGTCATTTTCTAAGAAATTTTTGGAAATAATGGATAATATTTGACAGATATTAGCAAACGACTCTGACTAGCTTAAAGAGGAGAAAGATCTACTATTAAAATTAACTATTTTTCAGGAACTGAAAATGAAAACCCTATAGAATGGCTCACTACGTTTGAAAGAGCTGCAATTACTAACAGATGGATCACTAAAATATAGAAGAAGACCATTGCTAAAGGATACCTTAAAAGTGCAGCAGCTAACTGATTCGATAGTATTATCACAGTGATGGGAGACAATTAGAACACTGGATCAAATAGTAATCAAAACTTTATAGATTTATTTAAAGCTCATTTTATCAGCAAAACTAAGAAAAATCAATGTTACCAGAAATTTAACTTCTTTGCGATAACAAACAAATGAATCTGTAGATTTTTATGCTAATAGATTTAAGAAACTAGTGACTTGTGTAGGACTAATAGACAATATACAAAAGAAAAGAATGTTTCTTATAGGACTAAATCCTGCTTACACTCCATTATTCTACTCACAAAATCTAGCCGATTTAGATACTGCTGTAAACTCTATGCGAACTATTAAAATTGGATATAATTTCACCTCTGAACAAGTTTCTAAAGATATTAGTATTACTACAGTTTCTATTCTTAAAAATATAGTTACCAATGCTGAAGTGGATGAACTCACTAAGAAATTAAAACAGCTATCTATTAACTATGTTAATTTGATAACTGCTTTATTAGCCTAATCTTAACAACCACTAAGAAGACGAGCAGAGCGAACCTATAATGATGCTACTAGAAAATTTAGACAAAATATATCTTCCATGACTTGTTACAATTGTAATAGAGAAGAACATATAGTCAGAAATTGCCTTCAACTTCATCAGTAACCAAGAAAAACTAATAGAAGACCTTGTTATAATGATATTAGAGATATACATCTAGCTGACCAATATTATGAAGAAGAATACGATGACAAGAAATATACTTCAGAAGAATGTTATGAGGAAGATAAATATGAGGTCTACCTGAACACTAAATCTGGACTAAAGATGGTGCTGCAACTGGTTGCAAACATTGACAAATAAGCATCACAGGCTTGCAACTAGTTGCAACATTAATAAAAATTAAGTTGCAACTAGTTGCAACTGGTGACAAATAAGTATCACATGGTTGCAA